AATTTTACTTTAAAGAGAAAAACAATGAAACAAAATTTCAATACAAGGTATAGGAAGGTAACAGTGGTTAATACATTCCATAATGTTATCTTTAAATTAGTTACTCTTCTTGCATTCTTTCAACAAAGATTTTATGGAGTAATTACTATTTATAAGTCTTGGTATTGGTAATACACAAATGAACAAGGTGTGCCTTACAGAGTTAACTTCTAAGTTGTAAGGTTGTATTTTTTTATTTCTTACACAGGCTTTACATAGTCTCTAATGGAACATGAGAAATAGGTAAGAACTATTTAAGAAAACTTATGAAGACTCAATTTCTGCCATTTAGAAAGTTTTCACTTTCATATCCATATTTGTTGGCCTGGAACATATTTTTTTAATTTTTTAATGTACATAGTACAGGGTCTACAGGGTCTCTCACTATACAGATCGGATTTGTAATGACCCTTCCTGTTTTTCAGCCTCCCAAGTGCTGGGATTACAGAGATGCAGCACCATGCCCAATCTCAATCATCATCTCAGTATGCCCTGGGGTCAGAAACAGCATGGCAGGCCAGGGATCAAACCCCAGATCCTTAAATCTACTTAAGTAGGCACTTTAATTTGCTGAGCTATCTGGCCAGCCTTCGGAACATCTTTTAAATAAAAGGTATACATAAGGACTAAGGCAGTTGGGTATGGTGGTGCATGCTTATAGTCCCAAGACTTGAGAGGTTTGGAGGCCAGCCAAGGCTACATAGTGATTAAGACCCTGCCTCAATAAAAGAAATAGGGCAGTGTCCAGCACTTAGTAAATATGCAGTAAAAGGTAGCTATAATCATAGACAAGGAGAAATAAGAAATAAAGGGAATTTAATTCCAAGGTATCATAAAACAATCAATAGTAGAAATTATAGCAATGTATTGCTCCTTCCTGAGGCTTTAGGTTTATATGTAGTAGCCCCTAAAAAATCCCTGTTATGGGGTCAGCAAAATAGCTCAGTGGACTAAGTGCCTGGTTAGGCAAGCACAGGTATAGGGTTTGATCCCTGTCACCACATGCCCTGCCAGCCCCACCCCTGGGCACACTGATTTAGCCATCAAGTCCCAGGGTGGTGGCACATGCCTGTAATCTCAGAGCTGGGGAGTCTGAAAACAAGAGGCTCCCTATGAGTCTGAGCTGTATAGTTAGATCCTGTACCAAATACATTTTTTTAAATAATCCCTGTGTTGTAGGAGAAGGTGTTATGATTCTTACTGATGAGGAAATGGATATTCACCAGGGAGAAGAGATTTACCAGTGTTCTGAATCCAAGAGACAGGAATCCAGGTACAAGGGTGTGTTCATTGCTGGGTGCCAACACTATAACGCATCAGTGATCTCCTCAGGGCACCCATCACATCCCTGTTTCTCAAGCTGTAGATGAGGGGGTTGAGCATAGGAGTAAGCACTGTGTAGAAGATAGAGATCACCTTGTCATGGCTAGGGGTCCGGTAACGCTTTGGCCTCAGGTAGATAAACATGGCTGCCCCATAAAAGAAGGACACAGCCGCCAGGTGGGAAGAACATGTCGCCAGAGCCTTATTTTGAGCCTGAGCAGAGTGCATACGGAGCACAGCCCCCAGAATGCGAGCATAAGAGGCCACAATAATAGAGAAGGGAAGGAGCAGCATAAAGACACAGCAAGCAAACAGCAGAGTGTCAAAAAGGGATGTATCTGCACACACCAGCTTCAATAAAGCTGGCACCTCACAAAAGAAGTGATCCACATTCCTTGAACCACAGTAGGGTAAGATCATGATTGCTACCATCTGAATTATTCCATCTAATACCCCAAAGGCCCAGGAACTCCCAGCAATCTGGAGACAGACCCTCTGATTCATGAGGATGGGATAGTGGAGTGGGTGGCTAATGGCCACATAGCGGTCATAAGCCATGAGTCCCAGTAACAACCCTTCAGATCCCACAAGAGAGACAAAAAATCCAGTTTGTATGCCACATCCCACAAAAGAGATGGACTTCCTGCCAGACAAGAAGTTGACTGCCATCTTTGGCACAATATCACAGACCAACATAAGATCCATGAAAGAAAGTTGACTGAGAAAGAAGTACATAGGTGTATGAAGTTGAGGATCTGTATAGATGAGGAAGATGAGGAGAACATTTTCACAGAGTGCCACTGTGAAGACGACCATAACTGCAGAGAAGAGGACAAGATCAGTCTGGTTGTGGGAAAAGATGCCCAAGAGGATGAATCCATCTATAGATGATTGGTTTGACCATACTCTCATGACTTAATTGTTCACAGTCACCTGAGAATGTGGACAGAGAAATTCAGAAACTAAATAACATGTCTATCTCCAAATTCCAAATTCTTCCTCAGATATATAATTGTAATTCATGAATTCAAAAACATATGCTTTGTAAAATACAAGAAAATGCTCTTCCATATTTCTAGGACACATATGATAGGATTTCTGCTATTTCAAGTTGGACTACATATCTATATTTGTATGTATCTGTGTTAAGAAAAATGGAAACTGAATTTTTGTGTCACAGGATTATTAAACAATCTTCATTCATCTGGCAAAATTGCAGACCTTGGTTAGTTGGAATCACATAAACTAGGTAAATGATCTGTAACATTACTTTGACCTTTTCCTGCCCAATAATTTTATACATTACAACAAGGGAAGATAATGGAGACCTGGGTTGTTCTTTATCTTTCATTTTGTTCTGGCCAAAAATATTTTAATCATTTTATCCTAAAATTTCTTTTATTTACAGATTGAGAGAGAATGCCGAATCCTAACCACTAGACCACCAGGGAAGTTTATTCACAGATTGAAACATCAGAAAACTTCAGTTCTAGTTTCAGGTTTTCTCAGAAGTATCCTGCTCTAATTCATTAACCTCCTTCAGCTGCATTCTTACATTTTCTTCCTCTGTGGTCTTTTAATCTGAGACCTGCTGAGTCTATTCTTATAATGTTTCCTATGATTCTGTTAAAATATAAATCATATAATGTAAATTTTCTTATGAAATTTCTCAATAATTTTCAATAAAAATCTTACAAACAAGTCACACACATACACACACAGACACACACACACACACACACACACACACACACACACACACACACTTCTGAGCTCATTGCCTCCAGTTTTCCTTTTACTCAATGTGCGTTCTTGAATTTCCCCCAGACAAACTGAATACACTTCTTTCTTTGGACTTTGTATGCTTTTCTCTACAGCATGCTTCTTTTCCAAGTTCTATTTCTTACCTTCTTCCTGTGTTTAGATTCAAATGTCAACTTTTTTAGAATATCAAATACTTGTATCAAAATATAAGTATTTTGTCCTCCAGTCCCTTTCTCTGATCTCAAGAAATCCACAGCATTTATCCTAGTTGACCACATACATGCTAGTATTGTGTACCTTTATTCTCTGTATTGTATCACTGGAATATAAACAGCATGTATTCTTTCCCATGACATATGTCATCTCATAGAATTGTACCAGTTCATAGTATAATCTCAATACATATTTATTTCCTGAATAACATAATTCATGATGAAGTGATATATAATTACAAGTTCTATTTGTGCAGAAAGCCTCCTCTAATCACAGGAAAACTTGGTCTTGTCCTGAAGGTAGTAGATATTCACTATGTCTTTTCTATGAGAAATAATCAATTTTAGGGATTTTTCAAATCATGAGAGGATTCTGTACAAAGGAGCAGTCACACCTGCTTTATGTCCCTGCAAAGATGAAATTAGGCATTTATGTAGGACACAAGTGATCCTAAATTGGGGTGGCCTATGCTAGCTCAATGACTGGAGAGTTAGCTGAATCACTTGTTTTCATATGCAAGGAGCATATTCTGCCTTGGGTCCCAAAAGGATCCTTGTGCCATGTTCCTTTCCAAACAATGACACCAACTATGATTGGACTGCATATCACATCAAACCACTGTTTTCACAGTTTTAAAGCACCATCATAGCCATACTGGCCCTAGGATCAGCCAACCTGCAGAAAAGCCAGGTCTTCCTGAGCTTTCACAGCACATTACCCATTGTGCTGAAGATACCCAACCCTACCAGTAAGACATATTGGCAATTGGCCACATTCAGCTTCCAGAACATAGATTTTCCATTCTCTTTTATCCTCCCACTCTCTTATAATAAGATATTGAATTGCTGATAAATGATATTTCTCTGGATGGCCCCATTTAACTCAGTTTGTTATACTCACTGTGTATTCACCTCTCTTTGAATGTCAAAAGGCATTGTCCTCCACAAAGTGATAAAAATCTTAGTCTCCCCAGACAAATACCTGTCCCCAGCTCTTTCAAGCTGTTAGTAGTAGGTCTGTCCAGTTACCCCCTCATATCAGAGGGTCACACTTGACTTCTCACTTTACCTCAGGAACACACCCTAACAATAAGTGCTCCTGGCTCATCTAAAATATATCCATCACTGAACATCTTCCACTCCCATCAGCACCCACTTACACCACAAGCATTGCTCTCTTGGTAAATGGCAAAGAGGCCTAGCTAGATTGGCCTCTCAGTGCTCTACTTGCCACCACCCCCAGTCTGTAGACACACAACACTGGAGTGAAACTATTTCTGCAAGAGTAAAAGCCACAGTCCATCTGGAAAAAGAGTAATACTTTCACCACGGGCCCTTGGTCACCCCCTCCCAAGATTCTTTTCCTTCTGCTCTCCCCATAATTCCCTGCTCTAGTTTCCTGAACCTGAACCTTTATGCTATTCTTGCCACTCTGCAGCCCATACTCACCTCAGTACTTGCTCTCACCTGTTGCAGAAGGCTCTTCTCAAATATACTCTGCTTTACTCCCTCTTCCCTTACCTTTTCATCAAAGCCTTCTCTCAATGCCTGAAACAGTACAAAGCCACCTTCCATTCCTGAGTTTTTCCTACCATCATTTTCTCACAGCATATAAGAGATGCTGCACTGTGTTTGTGTGGATTTGTTTCCTTCACTTTCTGACTAGAGCCTCTATTCTCTGGTGCCACTTTTGTTTATAATGTGATCCGAGGCACCTAAATGAGTTTCCGATACATATCCACCAATATTTATTGAGTAATAAATTGACTAAGATTGACTAGTGCTCACATTATGTAAAACAACTTGGGAATTTGTTTTAACATTCCACATGATATTTCTCCTGTTTTCTAACTTCAGAACTTTCTGCTGTATGTTTACCTTCATTTTCTTCCTAGAAATAACACAAAAGAAACAATATGATTTTGAAAACCATGGTTCAATGATCCATTCAGTCTTCTTGCCTCTTCACCCTCACTTTTCACTACTCCTGCATCTTCCTGGTGTGACCCAGTGACCAATATAGTTCCAGAAGCTGAGCTCCTCCATCCAACAGAGAGAAAGAGGAAAGGGAGAGGTTAATAAGACTTTGGGAAAGGAAAGAAAGAAGTAGGACAGAGGAAGAGAACTATAAGACACAGTGAAGAGAATCATAAGAGGAAGGTCTCCTAAAATAATAAAGACTACAAGAAGAGAGAAGAGGTGACAGGAAGAAGACACTCATTTACCTTTGGGTCAATTCACTGAAGAAGAGAAAAGTCAGCAGAGATGCCCTCTGGTGTAGTTTCTAGCAGCAAAATAATTTTATGTTCCTTCTCCTGTATTTGTACATACTCTTCAGAAGGGACAGGGAACAGCTATACTGTGTCTGAACTCTCCCACTCTCCAGACCCACTAGACCAGCTATGGATGACCACATTTTCCCAACATGTAAATGGACAAACAATAGGACACAGAAAGACAAGAGCTTCATCCAAGAAAGATAGAAAAAATAGAAAGGAGACATAGTCAGCAGATGGTAGCAAACACATAAGGTCAGAACAAGCATCTGTACATCTAGAGAAACCCACTACTTTCACAACACATCTGACTCACTTGGGGTGCAGAACTGTCCCTCACTGCCCACACAGGAACAGGATCTGAGAAGAAAGGCAATGCTTAATCCTCAGAAGAGTGCAAACTCCAGCCCTGGAATAAAAGTTCCCCAGTTTATAATTAAAAAGAGCCCAGGAGAGAGCTTGGGGACAAGCCAAGAGCAGGGCCAGTGGGGACAAAATGATGAAATCAGTTGGTATTTTTGGTTTTGCTTTTGCTTTTTTGAGATGGGGTCTCCCTATGTAGCTCAGGCTTCCTGCGATTGCTTCAGCCTCCCAAGTGCTAGGATTACAGGTGTGAGCCACCATGCACAGCAATCCATAAAACAATGTAGACTCTATGTTTATTATTATTGAGATCTACATATTTATTTTTCCTGTCATCCTGGAACAATCAAGGATAAGAATAACTCAAGTTGGAATATAAATCTTAGGCTCACTCTTGTTTTAGCTTTATGTCCCATGGTGGTACATCTCTCTTCATGACAAATTCATTGGAAGAAAATGCCAGAAACCTGAATTTATCTTTCTTTTTAATTCTTTAGTATCAGTTTCAGTTCACTACTTTTCACTTTATTCCCATGACAAGAATGAAATATCTTTTATCTGATATATGAGCCTTTTGGTAATTTTACTTGGAGGTAGATGCATGGAGCAGAGAGATAAGATCTAAGGATAAAAATGGCTTTTCAAGAAAGCTTGAGCTGATGACCGTAGAAGTACCTATTTGACAAACATGCAGTCAGGTTATCTTGTTTTTTAGGATTTTTTATTTGTTTGTTTTATTTTATGTATTTTGGACAGTGTCTCATTACATAGCTTGGACTCAGTGATTCTTCTGTTTTCAGCACCCCCAGCACTGGGATTACAGGCACGCACCACCACATCTGACTAGGTCGCCAGCTCAGTGAGCATGATGTGGTGCTGGAGACCAAACGCCTGCCTCT